CTCTCCGGCGTCCCCGTCCGGCACGACAACCTCTCCTCCCAACCCCCACCCTCCGCACCTGCGCGGCGAGGCGGCGAGGCAGCGGGGCGCTGGGCAAGGCGAGCTTCGCGGCTTGTCGTCGGCGACCCCAGCACTGCACCGCCGGTCTATGCAAAATGTGCTCTTCGCGCGCGCCCGCATCCATGCACACGCACACACGCCAACACCGACGGTGACGTTGTATTAGAAATGTATCTGGTGTCAGTGACCCTCCGCGTCCCGGCGACTGCTGGCGCGCGCGGTGCACTGCACCGTGCACTGCACCGTGCACTGCACCGTGCCGGAGACCCGAAGATGAAGGCCGGGACGTCCCGTCCCTGTCTGTGATCACTAACTACGTCGTGGCCTCACAAGAACACTGTTGCGTTGCTCTATCGTACAAGTTTGGCAGCCATCGCCCTGTGTAGGGCCTGTAGCGCCTGAGGTAGGCCTCCGCTCCGTCCGCGACACACTGGCGTGGAGATGGTGGCCTACCTCGCCCCTGTCGTCTTCACAGGGGCAAGGTAGGCCACCGTCTCCGCGCCGGTGTCCTGCGCACCGGTGGGGTGGCCTACCTCACAGGCGCTACAGGGTGTACATGATGGGCAGAATCCTTACCGGAGAAACAGAACATGTTGTGCCTGGTTTACGCAGTGGGGTCGCGGCGCCGTGCGTGGCGCGTCAGGGTGGTCGTGTTGCCCGGGGCCACCGCGGCTTCCAGCTCCAGCGCCGGTCGGGGCAACGCCGCAACGCCGCAACGCCGCAACGCCGCGGCAGCGACGGCCCGACGGCCCCACCCAACGCCAGCCGCCGGCCGTTGCGCCCGCGGGGCGGGGCGGGGCGGGCCGGGGCGGGCCGGGCCGGTTGCCGGCGGCCGCCAAATCAAAGTCAAGTGCACGGCCGAGACCTCCGCCGCCGCCGCCGACGACGACGCCTCCCCCCGACCCCGACTCTCCATGACCCCCTCCCTCCCTCGCCGGCGTCCGCGCCCGCGGGCCTTCGGAGCACTCCAGGATATCACAGGTGTAGCGCCGCGCCGCCGCGCTGTCGTGCAATTCCGCTGCCCGCACTCCTGGCTCTGTCTCTCTCGCTCTCACGGAGTGTGCCTCAGGCAGCCACAGGCAGCCACAGGGGTGCGAGAGAGACAGAGTGAGTCGCTCGACTGCACTCGCCGCGCTGCTGCATTCCACATTCCAGATTCCTACGCCAATATAGCGGGGGAAGGGCGAGCGAGGGCTTCCCTCCGACCTACGACCTACGCTTCTGCGTTGTTGCGCTGCCGGCAGAGCCGGATGCCGGGCCCGGGCCGGGCCGGGGTATTGCAAACATTCTAGAGCCATCATTCCAGGTTGGGGGCGTGCCTCTGCGCCGCACAATCACTCAATGGCCCTTCCGGAAGCAGGGAGGCAAGGGCTTGGGGGCACGCAGAAGCGTTTTCCCGACGACGCAGAAGGTCGGGTTAGTCATTCCGATGCCCCGACGCCGCATGCACTCTAAATGTTCTACAGTGAAGATTCTCCATATTATGGTGAAAATGTTCCATATTATGGTGGTGCAGCTGACTTCGTAACATACCATTGAGAATTCACTGTACATTATGGAGATTTTCACGAATTTCGCTGGTATTATGGAGAAAATCTCCACCATATTATGTTGGTGCAGCCTTTCACCGTAAGACATTTGGGGCAAACCAGGGCCAATCAGCAGAGCCCAAAATGGACCATCGACGATTTGGCCCATTTTTGGCTCAAATGTTACCTACCCATAGGTAAACTTCGGGGTAAAATTTCAGCCACCTAGGTGTCGTTTCATAGGAGTTATGGGCAATCTTAGTTTTTGACTTTTTTTCTTAAGTGGTTTTTGACCAAATTGCTACATTTTCCAAAAATCCCTCTCAAGTCTACAGTTTTGCCCCTAGTTGGCTAAAAACTCGTACTCCAACGTAAAATTGCATGAGGAATTCGATTTCAGGGCCCAAACGGACCCCTGGGCAGTCTATCATAGAGAAAAACGCAAATTTTGACGAAAAATCACTTTTTTTAAGGTTTTACGTCGGTGCGTTTTAAAGCTACACCCGAATCCAAACTTGGTCAACTCAATGCGGGAAATCGTACCTCATACTACCACCTAAAATAGCACGGCTCGACATTTGGGTGGTATGGGTATGGTTTGGGCGCTGCAGCCTTGGGAACTTTTAAATTATGAAAAACAAGCAAATTCCACCTTACGGCGAGGTCAACCCTCCTGCATTGGCTGTTTCGGGTTCAACTGAGGCCCCGCGGTAAGATTTAAGTTAGAAAGGTCCTTCTTACCCCTCACTACCATCACTGACCCTCTGAGAAGCGCACTGAGGTCACTTTTGGGTCCATGGCTGCAGCCAAAGTGACAGAATGGACGAAACGCCTGAAGGGTAGGCAACTTATCCTACGCGCCTGAAGGAATTATCCTACGCATGAGGGGGGCTGTTCTGGTCTAATAAAACATGTAGTCTAATATCTGCTCCTTTCATTTTGAAGAGGATAATGATCACAATTTTGACAAATTTGGCAGTGGGATAAAATACTAAGCTAGGAACAAAACTTGGCTCATACACTAAACTAAGAACACAACTTTGCTTAACCCATGGGAAAAAGTCCAGACGACCATCCGGGAACACCGTTCCCGGACAAATCCGATTTTCCGATTTCGCCTCACAGAATGGTCACGATCATGAGACACATTGTTTTGGAACCGCCTCTACGAAAGACGCAAGTTACTTTTTGAACGGACCTCGTACGATGAATTTGGTACGGGAACATGATTCCTGGATGGTCGTCAGAGACATGCCCAGTCCGGGAACACCGTTCCCGTACGTAAAAGCGGCCCAGCAAGCCAAATGAGGGTATTTTCGGAATCAGCGGATCGAGCCCAGGCCATTCGCACACTTTTCGAATTGGTTTGAGCTGTTACAACCAACTCGATTTTGACACGGCCCGATTCTGCTGCACGTCAAGAAGGCCGTGTGGAAATCGGGTTGGTTGTTACAGCTCAAAACAGGTCAAAAAGTGTGCGAATGGCCTGGGGTCCCTCCGCTGATTCCGAAAATACCCTCATTTAGCTTGGTGGGCCGCTTTTACGTACGGAAACGGTGTTCCCGAACTGGACATGTCTCTGAGGACCGTCCGGGTACACGGTTCCCGGACTCAAAAACGGCCATACAAGCTTCAAACTGAGACTTTTTGCGTTTTCTTCCTTATTTTCGGAAAATAAAATGATTTTGGCACTCATTTTGACTGGGAACCGTGTTCCCGTACTGGGTTCCCGCATCTAATGTCGTTGGCGTCCACACGGGAACCCCGTACCCGCGTGAATGGGCATGGCCCTCGCGACCGTCCGGGCACGGGGTTCCCAGATTTTTTTTTCAGCTGGTTGGTTTTGTTATTCCATGATTCGTGCTTATATCAAGTCGCGAGGTCTGAGAGATGCATGGTTTGGTCAAAGCAGACTCCGGTCCTGAGCGGAAGTTTGCCCAAAACGAGTCCGGTCGTGAACGTGTTAAGCAAAGTTGTGTTCTTAGTTTGGTGTAATGATCAGCAATTCACGATATTACCTCAATGTATAATGAGCCAAGTTTTGTTCCTAGCTTAGTATTTTATCTAACTGCCAAATTTGTCAAAATTGTGATCATTATCCTCTTCAAAATGAAAGAAGCAGATATTAGACTACATGTTTTATTAGACCAGAACAGCCCCCCTCATGCGTAGGATAATTCCTTCAGGCGCGTAGGATAAGTTGCCTACCCTTCAGGCGTTTCGTCAATTCTGTCATTTTGGCTGCAGCCATGGACCCAAAAGTGACCTCAGTGCGCTTCTCAGAGGGTCAGTGATGGTAGTGAGGGGTAAGAAGGACCTTTCTAACTTAAATCTTACCGCGGGGCCTCAGTTGAACCCGAAACAGCCAATGCAGGAGGGTTGACCTCGCCGTAAGGTGGAATTTGCTTGTTTTTCATAATTTAAAAGTTCCCAAGGCTGCAGCGCCCAAACCATACCCATACCACCCAAATGTCGAGCCGTGCTATTTTAGGTGGTAGTATGAGGTACGATTTCCCGCATTGAGTTGACCAAGTTTGGATTCGGGTGTAGCTTTAAAACGCACCGACGTAAAACCTTAAAAAAAGTGATTTTTCGTCAAAATTTGCGTTTTTCTTTATGATAGACTGCCCAGGGGTCCGTTTGGGCCCTGAAATCGAATTCCTCATGCAATTTTACGTTGGAGTACGAGTTTTTAGCCAACTAGGGGCAAAACTGCAAAACTGTAGACTTGAGAGGGATTTTTGGAAAATGTAGCAATTCGGTCAAAAACCACTTAAGAAAAAAAGTCAAAAACTAAGATTGCCCATAACTCCTATGAAACGACACCTAGGTGGCTGAAATTTTACCCCGAAGTTTACCTATGGGTAGGTAACATTTGAGCCAAAAATGGGCCAAATCGTCGATGGTCCATTTTGGGCTCTGCTGATTGGCCCTGGTTTGCCCCATTTACTGTGTGGCGATGCGCTTGGAGTTGCCTGAAATACTACCAGCCCTGCGCTGAGCATCAATTAGCTGCAGGCCGAGCGACCATCGTGCGGGAAATGCACTCCTGCTCCTATGTTCGCCTGCTCGGGACGTCTTCCCCGTCCCCCACGGCGTTGGGCCCAGGTACGTTGTCACGTCACGGACGCCAGACGCCTGCACTTGTTCCTGCGACAACGCAGTACTCCACGAAAGCAATCGCAGGGCACAGGCACTGCCAGGGCACTGCACTCACTGGACCAGGCTAGGCTGCATGTCTTACACTGTAGCCGCGAGTGTGTTCTGTTTTCTGCTGCTTGCAAGACAGTCGCGTCTCCGTTTGTGGAGTGGTCGGCTTGGTGTTTCGTTCCTTTTTCCGGGCGGGGCGACGGGGCGGCGGGGCGGGCAGCGGCTGCGCTGGGAGGCAGGAAGGAGGGGGCAGGCCGACAGGACCGCCTGGACTTCGTATAAAAGTGGTGCGGGGTCCTGGACCAGGCACATTTGCAGTTCGCTCCCGAAGGCAAATTATCCATCCCATCACCATGTACAAGCTGGTAAGTAGTGTTTCGTGCATCACAAGTCTCGTTGTTCTCTCTTGCACCCTCAGTTTCCGTGCCCTGTCTCGGCATCACAGATTAGATTTCCTCCGTATCTGTACGGCCTGTCCACACCATACGAAGTGGAAACGGCGTTTCTATCATGTTGCGGGCCACCACCCGAGGCACAACACCTGGGCGTCGCCGAAAGTGATTGGTTTGTGTCTGATGGTTTTGTCTTGCCCCAGGTTGTCCTCGCCGCCGTGCTGGCCGTCGCCGCCGCCAAGCCCGCCCCCGGTCTCCTGGCCTACTCTGGCGTCCCCGCCCTTCACAGCGGAGTGATTGCTGCCAGCCCCCTTGCCTACTCGGCCTACTCTGCCCCCGCCATCGCCGCCCCTCTTGCCTACTCCGCCCCCGTGGCTGTGGCTGCCCCCGTCGCCGCCCCCGTCGCCTACTCCGTGCCTGCTGCCCACTCCTACGTGTCCGGCTACAACGTCGCCGTCCACGCTGAGCCCGTCGAGCAGCACGGCTACAAGATCGCCTACTAAATGCACCGCCAACCTCTATTTATGACCCCTTCATTCAGTCCGGAGAAATAAACTACATCTCTTAATGTCTGCTTGTACTTTTTCTGTCGGTTGCTTTCGACTGTTTGACCACACTGAGTCCGTAGAACAGAGTCTCTCAGATTCCAAAAATTAATTAAGGTTAAAATCATTTTGAGTAGAGTGACAATTTATTGAGTTCATCTTGTATTTTATTTCTTTCCATACAATAGGCAGCAGAATATTAAGGAACACAAACAAAGACACAAAGTGCAAGATAAACTGAATTGTAACAGCAGACTCCCAGCAAGCTTAAACTCCCATAAGCTGTACAATACCATATCATTTTTGCGACTGATTCCATTTGAGAAGAAAGAGTCAACAATACTGAAAGAAACAGTACCTGTTTTCATCAAACCAAATTTTTTTAGTAAAATGTTTTTGAAAAAAAAAAGAAATTTAAAAATGCTTCCAAAAATTACTCTAAAACACAAAAAAGGAACATGGCAATACAACAACAACAACAACAAAAACAAATAAAAACTCCCTACTAAGGAACATAACCATCAGAGGTTTACTTCATGTGAATAAGAGAATCGGAAACCGAAAAAAAAAGGGCACTGGGAACTCAAACTTTCTTGCAACAGTGAGAGATGCATGTAATATGAAGGATAATCCTAAAATATATCAATAGAATTGGAGACAAAAGTTTACAGTAAAATAAACCATGGGGAATGATGCGACTACTATCCGAGTTAAGTCCTCGATATCTCCCGAAAGCCGTTAAATTTCAAACTACTTATCTTAAACAGTCAGTCAATTTTGGACTAGATTGTTAATTTCAATTTCGTTTTATCAATTACCAACACAAAATTTTACTAGGTACTTTAAGAAATCAGTACAGAGAAAAGAGACTTGACATCCAGATCACACATAAAAAGCAACATTCACTAAATTGATAAGATAAAAACAAACTTGTCTGCTGAGTAGTAATAATAATAGTGTTTCCCAATCCAATAAAAGGAAAAAATGGATTTCTTCCATATTTTTTAAAATCACAAATACTGTATTAAATACAATGCTTAACTAACGAAGCCTTTTGCAACATGTTCTCCTTTCATCACTTTTCTCAGCCTTGTCCTTTTGAACACACATAAAGGTAGCATCTGGCGTGCTCGAGGGCACTGCTGACTGCTGGCACACAGAAATGCCCCACAGGACTTTCTGCTTAGTGGTGGGGCCACAGAATAATCCATGAAATGTACAATGTGAAGATCATTTTACATTACATATTTGAGACAAAAAATAAAGTTAATTTTTAAGATGCAAATGCATTAAGAGAATCATTTTCTATGGCATTATCTATGGAAGAAGTAAAAGCAACAATTTCACTATTTACAGACAAAAGATTATTCCATCAAGTCCTGTGATAAGAAATACAGTCTATAAACAGTCAACCGATTCCAGCAAAACTTAGAATACATAGTTATGATGATGAGACACAGATTATCCTACAGTCTACAGAAGTTATGTCATTGGTTGAATACTAGAAAAGCTTGATTTAACAACACACTTCTAAAGCATTCATTTCAAGATAGAAATTAAAAAGATAAGGCTTTCTTATCTTCCGCAAGGTATTTTGATTTGTTTTTTAGACTACCTTAAAATGTAGGTAGATAAATTTGATATTCCTCAAAGGAGAAACAGAGGAAGGTACAAAACAAAAACAGAAACAATCAAAATTTGACAAGACAAATCTTTTAAGAAAAACACTTCTAATATTGGTTGAAGAACCATCAGTTTGGCTATGCCAATTTAACATAACAAAGAACAATAAAAAACATTACATCAACATGAACAAACTTCAAAATCACATTTCAGAAAGAAAAAAAATTCCAGAGACATGTGACAATCAAAAATGGAAGTAACTTTGGTAAGAACAATTCAAGTTAAATTGCACAAGCAAACAGGATGACAATGAAAAAGTAAGTATAACTAAACAGTTCACAGTCTCATAACACAAAAACCACTGCAGTTCTCAACCAACTAACACAAACTGTTTAACAGTTTTTAATGCTAAGTTAGAACCCAAATGGTACCTGTTATTCATTATAGAATTAATTCAAAACTTCCTCTTATTGCTCTTATCTAGGTAAATCCAGAGAAGAGTCACTGGAACAAAAGTTTAAAAGGGTGCAACAAAAGTTGACAAAAATCAGATCAAAACACAAAAACAAAATTTTTAAAGTTAAAATGAGATTTTTAAAAAAATTATAAATTTGCTAGCCTACATGTAAAAGTAACTAGAAACTAAAAATTGCTTTCAGCATTTTACACAAAAACGTAGCACCAGATCAAAGGAGAAAAAATACAAACGTTGTTTCTGATGATGAAATTATATCACAGATATCCAAAAGGTGATGATTATTCAAAAGCCTGCACCCCATCCTTGACTAGACTAAAATTCTGAAAACATCTATTCAATGTTCTCAGCACAAATAATCTTCAGAAGATATGGAAATGTTGACACAGTAGTATTCAACACATTGCAAATAAAAGTGCAATAATGTAATACAGCTGAATGAATTGGTTCTGATAAGAAATAATTGGGGGAGGGGGAGGAGTCACGAAACACACTTGGAAGCGCAACATGCCAAAGTATTGGTAGCTTCCCACGCCTTTCAACAATAACTAGTACTGAGGAGGAGGCAAGAAAGATCGCATCGCCTGAACTAGTAGTAATGTGTCTTCCAGAGCTGAAAAATTACAAAATGAAACAAAAATTAATACACTACTTTCACAAAAAGACACTGTAAAAACTAATAAAGAGGAAAAAACTCACTCTTTTGCAGCATTTCTGACTGCTTTCCATAGGGCTTGCACATTGATGGTTTAATACACATTTTCATGCGGTGCAAGTTTCTCATCACCTCTGCAAATGCTCGAACAATTTTTTCTTGTCCGCCTGTGAACAAAAGAGATTAGTCCAGAAGGCCTATAGTTCTGTATGTGGGATATAACTCAGATCACACATCAGGTTCTTCATTTACCTTCCATGCTTGAAGATCTTTTGTAAGAGCTTTGATCATCATGAGAAGACCAGGCTCCATTGTGCAACGCAAGTAAGTCTTTATTTGAGCTGGAGAAGTTGTCTAAATTGTCTAAGCTTGACCGCATGAAGTCAGTTAATTTTGGGTCCACCATAGTGGGAAATTGATCCAATAACTTTTGCTGTTGAAGCAACTTTTGTTGCTGTTGCTGCTGCTGCTGCTGTTGAATTTGCTGCTGTTGCATCTGTTGAAGCTGAAGTTGAATCTGCTGCTGGTGTAACTGTTGCTGTTGCTGTAACTGTAACTGTTGTTGTTGCTGTTGCTGCAGATGTTGCAGCTGGTGTTGCTGCTTTTCCTGTTGAAGATTACGGACAGCTTTTTCTGCCAAAAGTTGCTGCTGTTGGGCGGCAACAGCGGCATTCAGAAGCTGAGCTCTTGTTGGTGCTGGAGTGTTGCTGCGACTCGGATGCGTGGTGGCTGCAGCTGCAGCTGCTGCAGCAGCTGCCTTTGCTCTACTCAACTCAAGCATGGCGTTGACTGTTTTAAGATCTCCCATGGATTGACTTCCAAGGTCCATGGACTAGAAACATAAAATAATTAGGTAAGTACCATCTAGGGAATCGACACATAATGATTAGTCAACATTTTTTATGAAACGTACCTGCGAATATTCAGGTGCTGAAGGGGGCTTTGAGAATGATGCAGGAGTCCCAACTCCACCTCTCAAAAGATTTGCATCAGCAAGTGATTGAGGCATCTGACCTAAATAATATAAGCAAATTGTCAAGGACTTTGCATTGTTTTTAATAAAAGGAATAATATATTGACAAAATAATTATACAAATAGTTTGAGTAGAAACATTTCATGCACTATAGAAAGGATTATACTGTACCTCTGGAAGCTGACTTGTAGTCTTGATGTTGCCTTTGAGGATTTGGCATAAGGTCTTTCATTCCCTTAGATGTCTTATCTAAATTAGAAAGGATAGGAAATGAAAACTAGGAGTACAGAACAACAAACTTCTATTCAAAGCAAAAAGAAATCTTGTGCTTACCATTGGTTTCAGGAAGTGTATGATATGATGGCATCTGGCTTTTATAATAGCGACATTCAGGGCAATTCTGCACCACTTCATAAATGAATTCTTTCTCCATGCCAAAATAGTCACGGCCAATGGTATAGGACTCCATTACCTATTGGCAAATATGATTTTGAGTACCATTCATATAAATACACACATAGGGAGAGAATTTTACTTACAGCTCTAACAGTTGCTTCCAAATTCAAATGCATGGTGTGAGGTCTATTTATATGCTTTAACATGACAGCATTGGCAAAATGCTCAAATGGCAGAATAAGTTTACCATTTTCTCTGTGCACAAGCCTTGCTTGCGTGTCCAGTGTTACCCTTGATGCCATCATCCTAAATTTAAAAAATCATGATGAGTCTTTGGTAGCATAGAACCATTGATGCAAACTTGTGGTTAAGTACAAAGAAACCTACTGCAAATATGCTGCTGCATTGGGAATCATAGCAGCTTCTTTCATCTCAGCAAAGCATTGCAAGAGCTCCACTGAGTTCCAGCCTTTATGCTGCAGATACATTTGCAGTACAGTGTACAGCTTTTCTGTAATGTAGGTTGTGCCGAAGGGTGTGCTTGAAGTGCTTGACTGACTGTTGGGTGCAGGTCCAGTGCCAGGTCCAACAGCTCCTGCCATGATAGTAGGGCTGCCCACTGCAGCAGGACCAGCGACAGCTGAATTTACCGCAGTGGCAGAACCAGATTCCTTGGCCATCATGGTTTTCATCATCTCTGCAAGATCCATGATTTCAAGTTTCTGACCTGAAGAAAGTAATTTTCATTATTTTTAGGAGGAAAGAGGCTTAGGGCAGGATATCATATTAAACAAATGCATGGTAGAATTCGGTTCAAATGATAGCTAATACAAAAAGAGGTTATGATAGGATGAATTAAAAATGAGAAGTAATAGTATTTTCTTTTCATACGAAAAGAAAATTGGTAAGCTGTCATTGGCTGTCATTCAACAACAGCTGAGCCTCCATATGAAGTTGAACTGCATTCCATGTATTACTTAACGAATGAAAAAAGTGACAATGTTTAGGTAACCATGGCAACCAGTTAAATTGCCTAGCCGGCCGAGCATTGTCATGACAGGCTACACAGAAAGGGGGAGAAGCAATTCACAACGTTCCAATCACAATCACGAATCAAGACGCAATTGTAATGAAACGTCTCAAAACTCCCCTTCTGTCCACGACAGAAATACAGTTCACTTACCCCGACAATAAATCGATCACAGGAGTCCGAGTCCAGGCACGGACGGCCTACGCCCCGTCGCACTTTGGTGGCCGCTGCTGCATGCCCACGGACCCAAAATGGGGTACTTGCCACTTCACAGCATCGCCGCTTTATTATTGAAGCGGCCCGGTCCTCGAGAACCCCGTGCAACAGCCCCAAATCTAAAAGGGGGCTGAGATTTGATACGATGGGGCGTTGCTTTCCCAATCAAATTTGCGTTAGTTTTTGTTTACTTCTTTTTTTTGCGCCAGGAAGCTGCTGGGCAGAGATTCCGGTCAAGCCTACGGCAGATATAAGTAGGTATCGAAATCGTTCGTTCATCCATGGAAGAGCTGCTCCACATGCAACATTTAAGTCCCCGCCTTTCAAATATGTACTGTGGATATTTTTCTCATGTAGAATCTTGTTATCTTAACGTCTATCAGTATCGTTTTGCTTCGGGACTCATTCTGTGAAGTCTGCCGGCTGCCGCCTCCACTTTAGTTGTTGTGTGTGATTGTTGTTATTGTTCCGCGTTTTGTTACGTCTGTCTGTCTACTGAATTTTTGAGGTCGGCGCGATGGCAGATGAATCTCTCTACGAATTTTTGCACTCAGAAATTGTAGGATATGTCACTGAAAAATCAGCTCGAGAGAACAAGGCAAGTTTCTCATTTGTCACAATATTTCAGTAAAAGCTTCATTATTTAGGTTATGTTTACTATCTCACTGTTCAATGGAAGTCGCTTCAAATATTTTGAGGAGTGATTCAATCAAGATTATTGTAACTTGTCATTAGAAACCTTCCATGGTGGTGTCTAGTGAATGTCTGTTTTGTCTTTTCACAGAAAGATGACCTTTCTTCCTTGGAGTACATGGGGTTTTCATCTGGATTCAGGATTATTGAAAGGTAAGCACATTAGCGATTTTAAAAAATCTCTTATTTCACCAGATATAGAATTCCTTAATGTTCCCTTTCTTCACAGACTGACAAAAGAACGTCCACGGTTCAACGACGAGTTAGATACTGTCAAATTCATTTGCACAGACCTGTGGTCCACTATTTACAAGAAACAAATTGACAATTTGAGGACCAATCACCAAGGAATTTATGTCTTACATGATTGTGCTTTTCGATTTCTATCAAAATTATCATCTGGACGTCAATACCTAGAATCAGCACCAAAGGTGAGTGGCTTGGCCTTAAACCACTTGGGGAGTAGCAGAATCGCTGTGCCTTTTAGAATGCAGTATCTGTTAGTTGTAGCCATAATGACGCATGTTCAGTGGGGTTGTCTTAAAATTGTGTTTCTGCTTTCCTGCTATTAATTAAGTCAAACATACACCTTAAAATCTTGAAGCAGAATTCTACTTGTGTATTCATTTTTGTTCTTCTTTTTTTCAGTATGTTGCTTTCACCTGTGGGCTGATAAGAGGAGCCCTGGCAAATCTGGGTATTAAATGCTTAGTCACTGCGGAAGTTCAGAATATGCCTGGCTGCAAATTCCATATTCATGTTCAGAGGTCATAAAATTTGCAGTTGAAGACTTTTTCTTATAAATGATTTATTTTAAATGATCATTATTTGTTATTGAGTCATTTTAATTACCTTTGCATCAATTATGGCATACATCTTTTCCTGAGTTTGTGCCATGTTTCTATTGCAATTTTTCTCATCTTACTTTCTGAATTGTATTTTCTCTACTTTTTCCACTAGTACTATTTGAACTGACTTAAGTGTTTGTTAGCCTTTATGTGTATAAAAAATGGTGAGAATGTATGTGTCAGTAGTGTGTTTGATTGTTAAGTTTGTATAGTGTTAAGGAGCATGAACTTTTTGTTCTGCTTTTCTCACTGAAGTCTTTCTAACTTGGTAAGAGCATTGTGTCAGCGACTCAATGGCATATTAGAAATGTACAGGACTTTTGCTCAGTCATGAAATATACAGAAAACGTTGATCAGAATATACTTTTCTTTATTTTTTCAAGGTGATATTTTAAAAAAATTAAATGTACAAGCATTGGTTTATAAAAGTATCAAATGGTACAGCAATAAAATCACAGTTGCATGCTCAGATGAGGCACGACATGATAAAGATAAACTAAGTTTTGCTGGCTGATTTCTTGCATGAAAAGAATCTTCTGTCAGCTATAGTTCCTGTTGGTCCCATAACCCTTAAACTAAAATTGAAATAAATAGAGCATTTTTGCATTTACTAACAACAGATATCGTTCGTTTAAATTTTCCACATGGGAATGGTGTGGCTGGGAGGGACCCCTTGAGCCGAGCCACACGCCGCACCACTGTTAGGGCCGGCCGCGGAGGGAGCCCCCCTGACCCACCCCAAGCAGGCCGAGGCCGTGCCGCGCCTGCTCCCTGTCGATGGGGTGCGGGCTGGCGTGGCCTGCGTGGCCGAGGCCGTGGATGGGCAGGGACGTGCCGTGCGCGTGGTGGTGGCCGTCCAGGCCGAGGCCGCCCAGGCCGCCGAGCCCCGCCAGGCGGTGCGCGCGGCCCCGGTCGCGGCGCTCGGCCACGAGGCGGTAGGCGCGGCGCACCAGGTAGCGCGGGATGCGGTGCTCGCGGGGGTCGTTGGGCCGGATGAAGATGGCGCAGGACCTCGGCGAGGACAGCAGCAGCGCCGACCGGTGGCACACGGCCAGCAGCTTGGCGGGCAGCCACCGCAGCAGCCGCGAGAACAGCATGCTCTCCAGGTGCGCCACCAGCTCGGCCTGCCGGACCAGGCGGTCCAGGCCTGTCAACACGTTGTCAACACATCGATCCACTGGAATAATCCAAGCCCCTCCGTCGGACTCAGGGTTATATTTAGCGCGTGTCTCCGCACTGGAAGCGGCGAAGCGGCCGCGGCAGTCCGCCTGGCGGGTAGGCAGCGAGACGCAGCACGACGCGCCTGTCGGCCGCGCTGCCTACCCGCCAGTCGTCAGGCGCTCCCCATTACCAGCCCGGAGAGCCGGAGCCGGGGCCGAGTGAGGCCCATGCCGATACTCACCGGCGGACTTCTGCAGCCCCTGGATGTCGCTGACGGCCAGCCCGACCAGCAGGTTGGTGAGGATGACCGTGACGAGGACGACGAACATGAGGAAGAGGAAGTGCGCCGTGTAGGGAAACTGGATCTCCTCGCCGGGCTGGCCGTTGTAGAACATGTCCTCGAACTCGAGCTCGCCCGACATCATTACGACCGTCTTAAGCAGCGACAGCGGCACGTTGGCGAAGGGCGGGTAGTTGGCGAACAGCACGGCGAAGCTGAGGCCGAACGCGAACAGCAGGCAGCAGTAGGCGAGCAGGAACTTGGAGAAGTTGACGGCCACCGTGGTGAACATCTGCACGTACAGGCCGAACGTGGGGAAGCGGCCCACGATCATCATGAGCTCCAGCCACGTGAGGAAGATGCCCAGCGCCGCCATGTGGTGCTGCCACGAGGACACCTGCAGGGCCCGCAGGGAACGGGGTTTGCGAATGAATGCATGCCAACTGAATGAGCGGGTAGGCGAATGGAGACTCACCCGGCCGGAAGGAATGTCGCAGAGGAACACGGACACCACGATGAGGAGCTGCAGCCAGTTCTCCCAGTGGCGGACGTAGGCGCGGAAGCCGTGCGCCAGCTGGAAGGCCTCCTTGGTGACGAGCAGCCCGTTCATGGCCAGCAGCACGTAGCCGGACACGGTGGTGGCCATGGGGATCTGGCACATGTACCGCGGCAGCTGCTCGCCGTCGCAGTTGCGCGGGTACACGCCGATGACGTACACGGAGTAGAGCACGACGAAGGCGGCGTGGAAGAGCAGCGACAGCAGGAAGAACTTGCGGATGCGGCGCCACTTGAGGAAGAGGAACGTCTCGCAGAGCGGGTGCTGCAGGATGCTGCGCTGGCCCACGTCGATCAGGTCCAGGAACAGCACGCTCTCGCCGCGGTCCGCGTTCGGCACCAGGATGCGGAAGTCCATCTGCCAATCAGCACGCACCAAACTACCATGCAGATTTTTTTGCGCTCAAGCTTTGCACAAAGTTGAGCGTGCGTCTTAAAATACCAGAGTACCAGAGATAAAATCAACAAAGGAAAATTACAGCGAAAGCGGGCATCCCGGCGAACCGGCCCTCTTCCCTGCGGGAGTGGTGTGGATCGAACCCGCACGCACCTTGAGCTCGCAGTCCACGTCGCCGATCTCGTGGTCGTGCAGGCGCACGGCCTGGTCCAGCCTCTGCACGAACTTGGGCAGCACGTCGGGCGTGCGGCGCACGATGAACGAGAGCACGGACACGTTGCCCTTGGTGCGCGCCGTGACGTCGCCGCCGTGCGCCAGCAGCAGCAGGACGTAGTTGGAGAACTCGTTGAGGGCGGCCATGTGCAGTGGCGTGTAGCCGAAGCTGTCGGCCTGGTTCACCGCGGCGCCGGCCTGCAGCAAAGAGCACCGCGTCGTCGTTGTCCTTCCTGTGCCGCCGAGCGGCCGATCGAACTCCCCTCGAGCAGCGTGACTTGAAACCCGCGTGACTGGAAACCCACCAAACCTCCCACGACTCGCAAGCATGGAAACCAAGGCCGAAAGCCGGTCCACGGCCACCATTAACACTTCTCGGAACGAATGGAAGCCGCCCTTGACAACTTAAATTGCCAATATACCGCCTTTGATTCCCGGGCCCTTTGAAGCCTATGCCCCACGAGGCGAAGGCCATGCGGGGCCATGCGGGGCCATGCGGGGCCATGCGGGGCCGTGCAACCCTGCGACACCTGGCCCCGGCTAGCCACGGCGCCGCGACCGCAGGCTCCTCCCTCCGCAGTGGTCCGAACTCGCAGTCGCAGCGTCGCAGCCAGCACAGTAATGAGACGGGCCGGAACGGTGGCCTGGGCCTTCCAGACGCGTCCGCAAAAGGTATTAGTACCAGAAGGAGCAATCGGCTTTGGCCTCGGGCCTGGAGGCCGATATCGAGGCACGAGGGGCCGGGCTGAGGCCGGGGACCGCCGGGGCCGGGGACCGCCGGGGCCGGGGACCGCCGGGGCCGGGGACCGCCGGGGCCGGGGACCAGGCGAAGCCCCAGCCACGTTGTACAGACCGTGTCCCTCCACCGTGTCATCGCCCCAAGCTCAGGGAAACGAAAATCCGATACGACGCGCCGCGGCGTCAACTCGTGGTCCTTGGACTGTTTGCTCCGGCAGTCTGACTCCGATCCGAATACATATTTCGTCGCCCCGCCCCTCGCGCGCACTTCGAGAACGTTCGGCGCGACGGTGCGAGAGGGACAGAGTCTCGGAAAAGAGGGCGAGGACTGGAGTGAGGGGCTCTCTCCCTCAATTTCCTCCTCCCCCCCCCCCCCTCAATCCGCGCCTGCTCTGCCTGCTCTGCCTGCTGTGCCTGGCTCTGCCCTCACAGGCTCGCTCACAGGGCGGGGTTGGGTTAATTTGGTTAATTGTGCGCGTATACAAAGGGCCGCTCCGCGGTGGTTCGGATTTTCCTCAATTTCGCTATTAGTTTGAGCCTGGTTAATTTGCTCGGCCATCGCTTCATGTGCTCGTTTTCGCCCGCCAATAACAAATGGCGCGGCGGGCGGACGTGTGCCACGCGCGATGCACGCGGCGCAAGTGAAGGCAGTGATGGAAGTGACGCAAATGGAGCAAGTGACGAAAGTGACGCAAATAACGCAGTGATCAAAGCGGCGAACATGACGCAAGTGATGAGAGTGATGCAACGCGTCTGGCCGCGCTCATGCACGCCGATCTAATTGGTGGTTACGTCAGGCAGCGCGCGAGCAGCGAGGTTTTGTGTGCGAGTGGGGAGGGGGTTGGGGGAGCGAGAGAGAGAGAGAGAGAGAGAGAGAGAGAGAGAGAGAGAGAGAGAGAGAGAGAGAGAGAGAGAGAGAGGGGGGGGGGGGGGCGCAATGGGAAGCCGCGGATTGCGCATTGGATTGGCTGACAATTCAAGCGTGACACATGGCAATTCGCGAGTCGGTCAGGTCCGATGGCTCACACCAGCTCACACACGCTGACACACTGACACTGACGCGCTGACACGCCGACGCGGCGTGACGCGCGCGGCGCACCTGGGCCAAGGCCAGCCTCGCCGGCCTCGTCGGCCTTCAGCACGTGTGCGCCACGTGTGCGCCTCGTGGCAGGACTGCATGTTCCAGGCCGTGTTCCAGGAAGCCAGCCAAACACCGTCTCGCCCCAGCCCGAGCTCCGCCCTGCGGGGACGACTCCACAAATAGAAATGTGTACGTAGTATAAGTACACGCATACGGAATTAACAACGCGGTTTCTCGTTGCTCGGCGACGACAGTCCACCATTTCGATTGCAAAACTGTTCTCGGCTACCTTATGTACGTGCTTAACGTTCTCTGCCTTTTGCCCTCACCAGTTGGATTTGATTTACCGTTCCATACGTCGAGATAAATGCATCCGCACTGTCGCTCGAAAGGCTTTGGTGATTGCGAACGTGCTTGTGCCGTTGGCAGCGCTTCGCCCGACTTTCTGCTTTTTTGAAGAGCCTGCGCGATTGCAGTGCGCGTGGTGCGCATTAGACAGCATGCGACTGGGCCGCTGGGCCCCGCTGGACCGCTGGGCCCCGCTGGACCGCTGGGCCCCGCTGGGCCGCTGCACCGCTGGGCGCAGAAAAAAAGGACCGCCGAACTCTGCCATTCAGTTTTACCGACTGGAGATAAAACTCATCTGCGCCGAGAAAAAAGACGGAAATGGAAAAACCGTGTGCGCCTGCTGCACTTTGGACGAGCGGGAGGCGCTGCAGAGTGGCCTCGAATAATTTTTTTTTCGTCGCCCGTTCTCTCTCGCTCTTATGAGGCGGCCCGTAGGAGTGCGAGAGAAACAGGGGTCGGCCTGTGCACAGGCGCTGGAAACAAGTTTAATCGTGCGCCCGGCCTGCATTGCAGGGGATAATGCACCCCGCCCTGCCCCGTCCCGCCCCGCCCCGCGTCGAGCGGCACTCGGATGAACAGCGCATTGCCGCCTTTTTCTACATCCACTTCCTGCAGCTTTGCGCCGCGCTGCTTCTCGCTGCTTCGCGCCGTGGACGTGGCGCGCATAACGCGAGCCCCCGTGCGGCCCGACGGGCCCGACCGACGCCCGCAGTGGCGCATTCAAATGAACACGCCCTCGGGATGGTGCAGCAGAGGCGCAGGCTGTAGCTGACGCCGGGCCGGGCGGCCGGGCTGGGCGGCCGTGCCTTCGGGACGTGATCGCGGCCACCCGGCCCCCATCGCGTTGGGTGCGAGAGAGACAGAGCGACGATGCACCGTCCGGAGCGCCCACCTGCAGCAGCAGCCGCACGCAGTCGCAGGAGCGGGACAGCTTGACGATGGCGCAGTGCAGCGGGGTGCGGCCGTCGTCGTCCTGGCTGTTGGGGTCGGCGCGGCGCGCTAGCAGCAGCTGGATGGTGGCGGCGGACTGCGCGTGGGCGGCCAGGTGCAGCGGCGTCTGCCGCCGCCAGTTGATGGCCGTGGTGTCCGCCCCCGCCTCCAGCAGCAGCCGCGCGCACTCCGCGTTGCCGTCCTCGGCGGCCAGGTGCAGTGCCGTGGCGCGCATGGCGCCGAACTGCACGCGGACGTCGGCGCCGTGCTCCAGCAGCAGGCCGACGCACGACGCCGACCCCAGGGCGGCGGCCACGTGCAGCGGCGTCTCGGTGAACACCTGCGGCAAGAGGTTACAGTGGGCGACAGGCCAGGCGCTCGCGGCATGCCGGTCCGTCGTGCTCGTACTTGAGGCGTGTTGGGGATGGCGCCGGCCTGCAGCAGCAGCTGGGCGCAGTCGGTGGCGTCGCTCTGGACGGCGTAGTGCAGGGGCGCCCTGGTGCACGCCGCGCCGCCCGACAGCCCGGCGTTCACGTCCACCTGCACAGCAGAGCGGCGAAGCGGAAGAACCGCTTCATCAAAACTCCCTTCTCGCGGCTGGGTTGGCTCTCCGCGTGCCCATGGCGTGCCCGCCAAAACTTGCAGCAACCCGGCAGTTTCGCCCATAAAGTTTATGCCGGGTCGGACGGTAAAATTTCCGTAAATGAGACATACACTTGTGAAGCTAATTATGAAATCTACCACAACCTCTGGCCCGGTTATTCTGACCAAACACTCATAGTTCAGAAATTTTCATCAACTTTTGGCTGCTTTCTCGCGGGCACGCTTCGTGCTGCGCGTTGCGTCCAGAGTGTACAGACGTACAGACCTTGGCGGCGAGCAGGGCCCGGATGCAGTCTGCAGAGCCCGCCGAGGCGGCGCAGTGCAGTGGCGTGGCGCGGCGCAGCGCGTCCCAGGGCTGCGGCGACGCCCCGGAGGCCAGCAGCGCGGTGGCCGCCGACGCGCAGCCCACGCAGCAGGCCAAGTGGAGCGCCGTCCTGCGACAACGAGCTCCATTCACAACAGCGCAACAACTTTCCCCGAGGAGACCTCATGCCGCGGTGGGCGAGTCAAGACTGCCGCTCTAAAGTCTTTCCTTCCCTGTTCTCCAAACAGAGAGCCTCTGTTGGACATTTCAAGTGAAAGCCGTCACTTCGCGTACCGTCAGTGCAACTAAGCTTTAGTCTTTGTAAGTCCCTCTCTCAGTCACGACCTATAGAATGCGCGGTCTGCTTACATTACCAGTGTGGGCAAATATTGAAGATTGTTTTCCCTCGTTCGCGTCCTTAGGTGTCCTTGCATGAAAGTGTTCGTGCGAGGGAGAACGGAGACAACGGGGCCTCTTTCTTTGCCTTCCTGTGTTGGCTACAGCAAAGCAAATAAAGCACTCCGAAATAGCTTCCTGAGCAGAACGGCCTGGATGCGTTTCCCGCCAGGCGGCCGCCCCGCCGCCCCGCCGCCCCGCCGCCCCCATGCGGCCGGCTCGCTTCGTTTGTAAACACGCGGTCTATGCCATGCTGGCGGCAAAGTGCCCCCTCCCCCTAAATTTGCCTTTTTGTCTTCCATGAACACACTAGCGCTGATTTGGCGAAACAAAGGCATGACAACTATGTCCTAGTAAATGGACGTCACTTGGAATGTGACTTCTCGGTGAATTTTATTCATGCCCTTCCATCGGCATTACGCTCTTGAGGGGCGTGGAAGACTGTGGTGCTGAAGGGCGTCGTTTTCATGTGGGACTTGCCTGCCCTGGCGGTCCCTGGCGTTGGGGTCCGCCCCGCGGCGCAGCAGCTCCAGCAGCGCGTCGGGCTGGCCGAGGAACGCCGCCACCAGCAGCCCGGTCGTGGCGTCGCGGTCGCGGGGGAGCTCCGCGCCGTCTGCAAGTCGGAGGAGTTGGAGGCGGGGTGAGCTTCCGACAACCACACTTTCTTACTACGGATGACTTAAAGGTGGGCTGGAAATAGTATTGCCGATGTACTTCGACGGCATCGTCGGACGTACTGGATCAGCACACATTCTGTGCGCTGCCCGACCCCATTTTTCATCAGGTGTCTCCCCGTGCTTTCCAGGCAATGCCAAAATTTATATTATCTAACACACAGATTACCCGTTATAAAACAAGACAAAGGTTTCACTCTGATGCGGGGGAGGGGGTCTCTCTCCTCCCCCGAGCGCAGAGCCATCCTGGAGAGGCTTATGCAAATCCTACGTTATGGAGGTCCAGTTGACCCTTGACGTGAGAGTGGCGGCGAGAGATTTCGAGATTTGCCGCCAGAATGTGAAAGGAACCAACCTGTGGCGCCGAGCCAGTCGTCCGCGTCCGGCAGCGCCCTGAGCCCGTCCAGCAGGTCGTCGCGCGTCCACACGGGCTGAGCCTGCGCCGTCCGCACCGTGGGCTCGTCCACGCCCGAGTTGCCGCCCTCCTCCTCGCTGGAGATGCTGCCCTCCTGGGCGGCGTCGGCCAGAGCAGAGGGCAGAGCGTAGAGTGGACCCGCAATGCCGGTGGCATCTAGAGGCGTACGCAAGGGGTCCCCAACCGGCGAAAATCGGTGTACACGGGTGAAAAAGTCATTAAAAAAGTCACTAAAAGTCAAAAAAGTCAAAAAGTCACAAAAGTGAAAAAGTAACAGAAAAACCACTATAAAGTATCCAAAAAGTCACGAAACAGCCTTTAAAAATACCAAATTTCAATGAACGCTGGTGGAAAAGTAACTTTTTAAGTCAAAAAAGTCATTTAAAGGTCAAAAAGTCATTTAAAAGTCAAAAAGTCATTAAAACGTGTGAAAGTGAAAATAGTTCCAAGGCAAAACAGTCGCAAAAAGTCAGAAAAGATGCTCAAAAAAGTCACAAAAAAGTCAAAAACCAATCAAAAAGTCACAAAAAAGTCAAAAAAGTCAGTTTTGACTTTAAGTCAGTGTACGCTCGCCGGCTCGGTTGGGGACCCCTTGGGCGTACGAGCTCGCGTACGAGCGCCACCGGCACCCACTTACCTCGACGTCCGTGCCCGCCCCCGAGGCGCCGCGCTCAGCCGGCCTCAGCGCCGCCCCGGCGTGGTCCCCCGGGGGGGCGCGCCAGGGCATGTCGCTCTGGAACACAAAGGGAGGTCCTTGTCGGCGCGGCCACACGTGATTACGTGGGGGCGCACGTGGCGCCAGTGCGTCACACAGACACTGTTTCCGAGGGCCGTTTCCGTTGCTCCGTCTCTCTCGCCTGCACGGAACGGGCCATGAGTGCGACAGCGGCGAAAACGACGGTAGGAATGTGTCTGTCTGCCGCCACGCCGGCGCAGCGCAGCGTCACACTCATGTAAATCTTAACGTCAGAAACCTGTCTGAAAAAAACTGATCAAAATTCGCCTCTGAAAGCTGAAAACACCTCCTACATTCCGGCGAAGAACTCAAACCATCAATATCAGAGTAATTTTTCAGAATTTCAGCTTTTAGAGGCGTGTGAATTTTGATCAGGACTTCAGACATGTTTCTGACGTTCTGACAAAATTTACACGAGTGCACAGCGCAGGCCAGGAACAGTATCCACGAGAGTCCACCCTGCGGCCTGCCCAGCACCATGCCCCGCCCCATGCCCAGCACCATGCCCCGCACCATGCCCAGCACCATGCCCCGCACCATGCCCAGCACACTCCACTCAAATGGAGCTCGCAAACACAAAGCATCCCGGAGGGCGAGTCTTCGCAGTTGATCAAAGAGTCGCAGTGGGGGCCGAACTTCAGCAGGCAGCCGAGCGATAGCCGATTCGCAGCGTCTGTCTCGCGTCCCCGACGGGGCCTCGGACGGGGCGCCCCGCGAGTGCGACAGAGACAGAACGACGGTGACTCTCCAGAGAAAGTCCTCTCTACCTCGAGAGGACACGCTGAGCCTCAATCACGGTAGCGGGCGGAGGGAGGATCCGAGGAATCGAGGAACCGAAAAACCAGTGCTGCGGGTTGAAAGGCTTCCTTTTGCGAGGATAAAACGGACGGGATGCATCTCCGTTGCGACATGGTTGCGACGAGTGCAGTGTGGCCGAGCGTGGCCGAGCGTGGCCGAGAGTGGCCGAGGCTCCCGGACCGTCGGGTAAGCCTCGGGTCGGCACAAAGGAGCACTCTCATCCCAGAAACGTGACATTACGTTGAAACGAACGAGACAAAATGTCACGCTCGTACACAGAGATGCATACTACACACCGTATGTGCGTATCTGTGCACGCTATGCATTGAAACAAGCATTAAAAAGTCCACAAGAGTGTGCATCGGTTGACGCTGCGGCGCCGCGGTCATCGTGAACGGCTGCTGAGACCGCCGCCGCCTCGCTGTCCTTGGGGTGTGGGGGCGCATTGCCTCGCGTAGCGGCGTAGCCTCGTTTTGGGCAGTATGTGGAGGGAAGTGCCGGGCCCCGCTTGGGGCCTGCCCAGCCTGCCACCCACAAGCCTTGCCCCCCTCGAGAGGCGTCCAGGGCCCCAGACGTCAACAGGCTCTATTCCGGCCGCAGCCGGAACTGGGGTAAAACTGGGGATCCGAAACTCTCGCTGAAACTTCTCCTGGGCTGCAGACAGTGTATACGAAGCGTCGTTTTTCGTCGGCCTGCCTCTGTCGCACTCATGGGTCGTTCCACAGAGGTGCGAGAGGAGCCGAGCGACGGAACGAACCTTCGGAGCCACTCGGCAGGAGCTGCGACTGACAGTGCTGGAGTGTTCCTTCGCATGCCCACTGCCGTGCTGCTGCATCCTCGGCAAGCAAGCTGCAAGGCGGACTCGGCCCTCGGGGGGCGTGGCGCGAGGCGTGGCGCGAGGCGTGGCGCGAGGCGTGGCACGAGGCGTGGCGCGAGGCGTGGCGCGAGGCGTGGCGCGAGGCGTGGCGCGAGGCGTGGCGCGAGGCGTGGCGCGAGGCGTGGCACGAGGCGTGGCGCGAGGCGTGGCGCGAGGCGTGGCGCGAGGCGTGGCGCGAGGCGTGGCGCGAGGCGTGGCACGAGGCGTGGCACGAGGCGTGGCACGAGGCGTGGCGCGAGGCGTGGCGCGAGGCGTGGCGCGAGGCGTGGCGCGAGGCGTGGCACGAGGCGTGGCGCGAGGCGTGGCACGAGGCGTGGCACGAGGCGTGGCGCGAGGCGTGGCGCGAGGCGTGGCGCGAGGCGTGGCGCGAGGCGTCGCGAGGCGTGGCACGAGGCGTGGCGCGAGGCGTGGCACGAGGCGTGGCGCGAGGCGTGGCGCGAGGCGTGGCGCGAGGCGTGGCGCGAGGCGTGGCACGAGGCGTGGCGCGAGGCGTGGCGCGAGGCGTGGCGCGAGGCGTGGCACGAGGCGTGGCGCGAGGCGTGGCACGAGGCGTGGCGCGAGGCGTGGCGCGAGGCGTGGCGCGAGGCGTGGCGCGAGGCGTGGCGCGAGGCGTGGCGCGAGGCGTGGCGCGAGGCGTGGCGCGAGGCGTGGCGCGAGGCGTGGCGCGAGGCGTGGCGCGAGGCGTGGCGCGAGGCGTGGCGCGAGGCGTGGCACGAGGCGTGGCGCGAGGCGTGGCGCGAGGCGTGGCACGAGGCGTGGCGCGAGGCGTGGCGCAAGGCGTGGCGCGAGGCGTGGCGCGAGGCGTGGCACGAGGCGTGGCACGAGGCATGGCACGAGGCGTGGCGCGAGGCGTGGCGCGAGGCGTGGCACGAGGCGTTGGCGCGTCGCCAGCCCGCGCCGGGTGGCCAGGGCACTGGGCAAGGCACTGGGCCCCGCGACGCGCGCCGAAAGCATGCCGAAAGGCGGCGGAGCGCTAAGTTTGCCTCGGTTTCCCATAATTTAAGCAACGGGGTGGAAGCGGGGCGAGGAGGGGAGGGG